TGTATGAATGCATAGTAACCCATGGAAATGCATTCTAGAACTTTCCACGCAGACCGGGAAGACACTCCTGATGCCCTTTCCTTCCATGTCACTGACCCATTCATCTCTTTATAACACTGGCATCATTTTCTGCCGAGGAAGGAGGAATCTAGTTCCATCCATTCCTCCTACAGATTAGAGCTCTCTGATGTGCTGTCCATCCCTTTTTCCATCTCCTAATAAAACTGATACTTAAATTCTCTATTTTGCAAATGCAAATTTATTGGTCCAACCTGCACTCATGTCAGCCAGTACATTTTTATATTTGTATATGCAATTTTTTTTCTTTTCCATTACTAGGATAGGAATAGCAGGCCATTTGCTCTGCTGGTTAGGATTTCATGCCAGTGCACATGTAGCCCTGAGCTTGTGTCAAAGCTACTGGGACACAGGACAATCAGTAGGCACTTTGGGCTGTGAGTGTGAAACACGGGTCACACACAAGTTAATAGAAACCCTTTTCTTGGGGACTTTGGCATCTTACAGGGCTCCCATGTGTCCAGACTATATTATAGGTGTATGGGCTAGATGACTTTCAAGATCTGACATAGTCCAACTCAAATCTACTGACCATTGGCTTTGCCTCTTCCATACAGCCATATTAGAAGTTTGTCCATACTTTCATAAGAAAAACATTTAAAAATACTAAATCATCTATTTCACAACTAAAATAGAGCTCATAGATGGTCTTTGTCACTCTCTTTTACAAAGGGGAAGCCAGCCCAGTAAAGGTAAGGGACCTCCCTGGTCACATGGTCACGAAGAACAGGGCAGGCTTTAAATACAGATCTTCCTGCACCTCCCCTACTGAATGGAGAGGTGGGTGGGTCAGGCTGTCCTGCAGGCCCAACCAGCCTCAGATGCAGAGCTCTGCCAACCAGAGTTCCCTTCCTGGAACACTCAGGAGCCCCTCAGCGCAGTCCCTAAAATTGTCACAGACATCACAGCGTTGCATCCATGAGAAGAGGCCAGTTCCCACCCCTTCAAGGCAGCACCAGGGTCATAACTTAACCTGCATAATTAGAACACCCCTTCCTGAGGGGGGACACGTTGAAAAGATAAAGAGCCTCTTTCGAACAGATTCTCCCCAATGCGTTTTTTTCATAATTATAGCTTTAAGAGCTTATGGTGATGGGAAAGCTGGCTACTTAAGAAAAATTAGGAGTCTCATTTGGTAGGAGAAGATTCCCCAGGGCACAGCGTGCTGTCATTTTTCAAGGCCCCTGAAAAGCAACCCCCACACAGACATCTGCACGTGGGCCTGATGCATGGCAAGCCTGCTTCACTTATTATGACCAAAGCCAGATATTTTAATTAAAAACACTACATATGCCATTAAATGTGTTGTTCCCCCTCCAGCTCTGAGATGTTAGAGTTTGCAGAGACACAAACAAGTGAATCTACTGCAGATGTGCTCGGAAACCAAGGCCTCCTGAGTCACAAGCAGCGGGTTCCCGAATTCCACCCTCTAAGCACCTCCTGGTGAAAGTGCCCTGTGCAGGCAAACTGTCCCTCTGTCATTTTCTCAGCACCCAGCAGTTGTCATGGCAGAGAGGGAAGGACCAGGGATGAGCCTAGAAGGGAAACCCATATGGCCCCCTTCCTCCATTTGTGAGCAGACCTATCATTTCCCAGATAAGCTTATGATACACAAAAGTCCTGTTGTCGTATGCAGGATGGTGCTGGATTATTGTTTCCTTTCCCCCTTCTTAATGTTATTTACATATTTGTTTATTTTTGAGCACAAAATTTGCATACTGGGGATAATCACATCCTCGCTGGAGCTCAGGCAAGGAACTCAGAAAGACAATGCTTATTTAATTTAAGCTATCATTGATGACCCCAGTGTAAAGATATCAGCCGAATGTCACTGTCACTAGCCAGAATACCTTTCTCTCCAGGCCCGCACCAACAGCTGGGTTTCATTTTCGATGGCCAGGGCGGCCTGCGTCTCCCCTGGAGCAGCTCAGGACTGAGCGCCTTCCCTTTACGGATTTTATTCAAGGTGACAGCTCCCTACACATTGGTCTTCTGATCACCTCAAGTAGCCAAGATATCAGTGGGGACGAGCGTGCACCTCCTGCAAAACCGAAATTTAGATTGACTGAGGTTATCCTTAGGCCCTGTGACCCCACTGCTCCCACAGACCAGGGTTGCCAGGAACTTCACAGCTGCAGTTTTGTAATGACGTCTCGGGAGAAGAGTTCTGCGGCAACAGGCAGAGAAGACCCCAAGTGCTAAGATGTGATGTCAGCTTGCGTTAGAGCAGCACACAGCGCTAGAGTTTCCTTGGCATAATATGGCGCTGGTATCTCTGTCAGGATCTCTGTTTTCTGTCACCACACACAATCCTGGGCCTGTCTCAAGTCCTGACAGCGCTTTTTCAGATCAGGTTATTGCCAGGACAGAGAGGAACTCAGCTCCTCGCCACACAGCCCCTTTGTTTGAAGTCTGCCCTTTTGTCATTAATGCACTCGATATCTATTTAAATTTGGCAGTGAGCACATTCTCTATTTTCCTGTCAAAAGATCATTGACAATATTAGTACCGCATGTCCTTGCCTCCTTTTCCAAGTGCTGACACCTAGCTGTGGTCCCCTGCACTCACCCAGCAGCCCTGTCTCACCAGGATGACCATAAACATTTTTGTTTCCAGGCCCAAAGAAACAGGGAAGCTCATAAGAAGGACTCTTATCAAGGCCAAGCAGCAAGCGGGTCTGGGAGAGTGGCTCAGAATGCATCGAGGCCCACATTGCAGGAGCATTTGCTTCCCTCTGGTTGCCTGCAAGTGAGATGAGAATAGAAGTTCATGGTGGAGAAAGAGTAGAGGAAAGAAAGCATACCCCCAAATCCCCTGGAGAGTTCTCTGCAGGCAGGGCACCCCTGGGGGCAGGCTGTGTGTACACAGGTGTGTGTGTGTGTGTGTGTGCAAGTGCCTGCCTTCTGTGCTTTTCCTCAAGAGAAAGACTACTCTTTATGGCATCTGACAGCCCTGTGCATTTCTCTTTTTGAAAGTCCATTCTGTCCTGGAGCCATAGGAGGAGGCTGACACCCTTTGGCCTCACCTTCCCAGATCCTGAGGGTGTGTTTGAATCTGCAGTGCCTAAGGCAGCCCCCTGAAGATTTTCCCATACAGCTGGACTGTCCAGCCCAGGCCTGCAGGCCGTGCTGCTCCAGGTACAAACTTCACTGGCCCAGCCAGGATCTTGGCATTGGTGACAATGCTGGCGCATTGCTGGAGGCTACTTACCTGCATAATCAAAGGATACAGCTCAGTGTGGATAACAAAAGAGTAACTTAGCCCTTAAGAAGAGTCTCCATGAGGTTTCATCCAGGCTCAGGACTTCCGGGCACCGGATCAATGCTGAAAATCAGGAACTGGGGGTTGGTGATCAGGACAACACCAGGATGTGGCTCAGAATGTGGCGGGAAGTATCACAAAGGAGCCATGGGAGTATCACAATGTCACCTGGTCCCTTGACCAACTCCACTAAGAGATATTGAGATCCTAGCAATTTCCACCTTTGTCCCAATCCATCCAAACCAGGGAGGATCTGTCCTGTTCACAAAAGTGGCTAAGAGTCATGCTAATTGTTCTTTAAAAGCAAAGTTGAAGATTCTGCAGTGGGGAAACAGCTGTGTTATAGTCACGAAAATATTTACCAGTGAAAAATTCGAGGTGAGGAACCTGGAGAATTTCCAATGCTAATTTATCCCAAATTAAGCAAGAAGGTTGCTTTGCTCATTGATTTCACACTTATGCTGATGCAAAAATAATAGTCATGCATATAGGTAGTTATTTTTGCAGGTAGATTAGTGGCTCATGAATTAATATTTTATGGACATATTCATTTTTTTTCTCCCTCTAGCTGGGTACACTTCAGAGACTCAAGTCCTATTAGTACTAAGGCAGCTGCATCTAAATGAATTTTTAGTTCTTCTAAATATGGAAGGAAGAAAATATGACCAAAGGCAAAATAAAATTATAAGTATTTTCTTGGAAAAAACTGATTTTTCCTTCAATGATCCTATGAGGCTTTTACAATAACTATGGCAGGTGATTTCTTATCACTATTTATAATTAATAAAGAATTGCTTAGAAAGTTTCTACCTAGCCACGTGGCAGTGCCAGCTTTTCCAGCTACTCATGAAGCTGAGGCAGGAAGATCCCAAGTTGAGGCTGGTCTGGGGAACTTAGCAAGACTCGGTATTAAAATGGAAATAAATAATAAATCAATAACTAACAAATAAAAAGGCTAAAGATGTAGCTCCGTGTAAGGACCAGGTTTCAATCCCTAGACCTGTCCCCAAAAACTTGAACCCTATCTTTGGCATGGTTTTCATGAATAAATCTCATATAATCTCTTTGAATTTTGAGAGTAAAGCTTTAACTTTTGGGACAACATGCTTAAAGTAAAATTGAGGGTGAAAATTAAATATATTTGAACTTGAGAAGAAGGTTTAGGATGCCCACAAGGAAAAGACACTGTCAGGGGTCCTTGTGACTTCTGTGCCGTGTGTCACCCACGCCACCACTGTTCCTGAATCATTTCACAGGTGCTCGAAGAAAGGACTTCATGGAGGTCACCATCCTGGAAGATTGTCCTCTAGTTCTGCTTGGGCTGAATCCATCTTTAAGCTATCGGTTCTCTATTTGTAGAAATTCTAAGGAGGAAACCAAGAGAGAGGAAAGCACTGTGCTGTGTTTGGGAAAACAGTCTCTTAAATGTGGAAATCAGGCAGAACACATGTTTTTCCTAAGAACCGAGACTTGGTAATGGTGTTTTATTTGAATGTCTACAGTGTGGAAAAGAAGGTGGCCTTTCCTTCTTGGGGCTTACTGCATTTTCTGTCACCTATCAGGTTGGATGTCACCATCTTGGAAGTCTGCTTTGAGGCACCTGCGCTTCCTGACTGCACTAATTCTGCCACCTGTAATGATGTGTTTCTTTTTGCTTACAGGGGTCCTGGGCAAGTGTCACTATGTTTACTGTGGGAAAAACTCCGAGGGCAACAGGTTTATCCGAGATGATCAGCTCTGAAGACAAACTCTGTATACCTTTGCTTATTTTGTGAAAATAAAAAGAAAAGGGAAGAAAAATAAAAAGCCAAAGAAAGAAACAATGACCCATTTCTTATCTCTGGGGAAAGGCTGTGGCTTCAGCTGTTGGTACCTTGTGCTGACTTTGCCAGGCTCGTCAAGATCATCCGTCTGCCTTACACTGAGTGGTCACAGAGAGATTGACATGATTGCCCTTAAGCAGGTCTCATCTACCAGGGTGACAGACAGCGGCAGCGAAGCACCAGGGCTGACAGCATGAACACCATGATAGATTGCCTGGTCCCTCCACTGCTCACAGGGGAGCAGAGGTCACACCTGGGGCCTCCCTGAGCATGCGCAGTAGCTGCAGTCTAGGGAGCGAGACTGTCTTCTGCTTGCCTGCTAAGTCAAGATTCCTCTGATGGCACTCTGATGTAGGTTTCTATTTAGTGGAATAGTCACAGTTTAGGAGAAGGACACTTAAACCTTAGCCTTTATATGCTCATATGCTCGCCCCTCTCCCCTCTCCAATACTTTAGCATCGTGTTTAACACAGGTGACATATGCCTTGTACAGTTTTTCAGAGAACAAAAAAGATAACCTCTCAGCCAGGTCATACATTTAGGGCCAGTTTCATGTTGCTATGTTTGATTAAATTGCTTTCCCTAAATCCCTGACTACAAAAACATGGGCTTCATCTTATTTCATATTTCCAAATCCACTTCTTGCCTTAAACACAATACAGCAAGAGGCATCTTTCCCAGCATGAGGGTTTGGTTGCACCAGGGACTGTTATTTATTTTTAACTACGTATACTTCTAGCTATGCTTAGGGCCATATTTGTGGTGGGGGCTGGTTTGCTCCTTCGGGTGCTATTTAAAAGTAGTGAGGTGATGAAAGATAATGTATCAGGAGGCTGAAAAACAAAATGAAGACTATAGAAAATACCTACCAGACCACATGGGTTTTATAGAAGGCGCAAGCCTTTCAAACCTCATGTCTTTTCTCAGGACCTCTCAAAACTTAGATCCGCAGCTTAAGTGACATTGCTATGTCGCTGTGTATCTTTGGTTGTATTCTAACAGCAAGGTCACAAGGGAAATAGGCACTATCGTGCCAGTTGGGGGACTGCCATTTTTTGAACTTACGGTGCACAGGCCACATGACTCTGGGAGATACTGGAAAGACTGGGTGCTGTTTGACACAAGAGCATTTATTTTTGGTGGTTGTATTTAGACCAGATGTTCATTGTCTTGGGTCCCCCAGTATTGGAACCGCAAAGCCTGGAAGAGAATGCCTCCAAGTTACAGCTACCAAGTGACAAGAGAGTTGCTATTGCAAGAGTCTTTGGGGACACAGAATCCCTGGGCTGCCTGAGAAGAAGCCTGTTTCTCGGCTCCACTCCGTTTACATAGCCTCTGGCCTAGTGAGTCAACACAGTCCTGGAATGACATGTATCGAAGCTGGCAGGAGGCCTGCTTTGTAGATTATACAACCTCTGCTAATCAGCTGTTCAGACTAGTTAGCATTAAAATCCGCGAGACCATTAATCATTAGAGATTATGGAATGTTTGCTTACATCTCTCCAACCTATTCATAACAAGAGTTGAGTGCCTTTTCTGTGTTTGATCCACAAAACAGTGCAGGGATAATGTTTTAAGTCAGCTGCTCTCAGTCCCACCCGGGTTCTTTGTTTAGGAGCATCAACACGTTTTTTGTCCATGGCATATCATGGGCAGCAGAGCTCTCCGTGAGGGCAGCTAGACTAGTCCGATGTCATATTCAATCTTGCGGCACATATATCCTTGTCTTTATAAAAGGCTTTAACCCTGCCTCAAACAATAAAAAAGCACTTGTGAACTGACCACAGAATTTTTCCATCTTTATTTTTCTTACTTGTTTACTTTTCTTAATGTCAGAACCATTTGTATCAAGCACGGGAATGTCTCCCTCAATGTGAGCTTTGGAAGCAAAAAAATATTTTTGGAGTGAGTTACTGACCGCATTGTTTCCCTCTCTTTGGCCTGTTTATTTTCTTCCAGAATGGTATAATAACTTTAATTAAGATTAGCTTTAATTATAATTTACGTAAAGGCCATCACTGTGGTATATTCATCTTATTGATAGAATTACAGCAACTTGTTTCTTGTAAGCATGGTAATGATAATGAGACAGGGTTGGGTTGTTTACAACTCCACTGTTTGTCAAGCAAGATCTGCTCTACTGGAGCTAGACTTGGGCCTGGATTGGCAAGGGGAGAGAGCCATGCTGCATGTTTATCTAAAAATCTGTAGAGGTTTCCCAAATCTTATTTTTCAAGGCAGAAAATTAGAGGGTAATAAATTGAAAGCTCAGACATATCTCATACCTTCTCTATCCTTGGTTCTTTTTTCCCTTTAAACTACTCAAGTGAGTTTATTCGTTGAGAATCAGGGTATCTGACATCCCGTCTCCCCTGCCCTGGAGCCCTGATCTAAGTAGAGAGACCCCTACAAAACATGGCCATTCTGGAGTTTTCTAGAGCCTCAGCAATGTCGAGGTGACTCTCTGTCTCTCAAGTAACATAATTTTATAGAACAATTTGTTCTTCAGGGAATAATGTTTTAGGTTGTAGGGAATCGTATTAAAAGTACAACTATAGCAATCATTTGCTTTTCCTTTTACCAGCTTTGCTCATAAACCCTCCATCTGTTTGTTGCTTTAAATAGAAGCACATTATCAGAGATTATCACTCGATCAGGCTGCATGTCTGAGTGTGATGTGTTTTCACATATTCATGTACACTAAGGAGAAAAAGAAAGCAAACTACAGAGTCCAGAGGAAAGCACGCATGTGTGTGTTTTGTGTTTGTGTGTGTGTGTGTGTGTTTCCAGCAGAGATGTATCTTGCACATTTTTCAAGGGAAAAAGTCTTTCTTGTGTTTCTAAGAAGTATGCTGGCTGTCTTTGTCATCTTTGTTAATATGCAGATCAAAAACAATCCACAGGGCTCTTTTCATCAAAACTGTACCATTCTTCAAAACTGGCTACTAGTGAGGGCAGCCTAAATCGGATTTGTGTCGCTGCCCGTGGCACAGGAAGGACACACAAGGCGCACTGAGACTGTTCTGTGTCATCTATCCATTGAGCTGATCCAACATGACCTTTAACTAGCTGCTGTTCCAACTTGGTTTCCAAGAAGCCTCCTGCATGGAACAAGGGTGTTACTGTCACTTAATCCTGGCTTTTCTCACTTGTCTAAATATCATGTTGTAGCCTACTTGGAGTGAGAGGGGGCAGTGAAACCAGAGGAACACAAAGTATTTTGATCACTTATTTGGATGACAACAAGGCCATCAGCCCTTAATGTTGTACATATGTTACTACTTCAGCTATCACTTATGGGTTTCAAGACTATTAAGATCCAACCCACTGTCCAAAATTATTGTCTTTCTGCAAGTTCATCTAAAAGCTCCAAACATTGCTGGTACCCACTCAAATAATTATAACTCTGAAACACCTACTTGTCACTTTATGAGTAATGATTTTTGTTTGTATACATATACATATTAGTTGGTATTGCTCCTTTTAAAGAAGCATAAAATGTGACTCAAAGAATAAGTCAGGATGCAGAAATTTTGCTAAGAAAAAGAGGAAGAAGTCTTAAGTACAATATGTCTATGATGGAGAAATGTTAGTAGAACTGATATAAAGAAAAAAAGTGGGTTATGCCATGCGACAGGACAAAGAAAATTTAAAATTGGAATCTTGGAAAATTTAAAATCTACTTGGATAAGGATACATTGGAAACTAAGGCAATGATAACAAGAAGTAATTTTCTGCTAATTAAAAGAGGCTTGCTGTGGTTAGTATTAAAATCATGATTAGGAATATTTCTCCTCAAAATGGAATCATCTTTGACTTGAACGAGTGCTGCCACATCTTAACGTTTTGTAAGTTTTTCTGCTCTGACAATAAAAGGTGGGAAAGATACGTCCCAAGGTGCTCTGGGAACACATGATCCTATGTGTGATGGTTGAATATGGATGAAATGATTATCGCTTGTGCCTAATTTCCCATAAAACAGCATCCTAAGGTAAGTTCCCAGCTGCTGGATTGGATAAATGATAAGGAGGAGATTTAGTGACCAGGCAATAAGATCAAAGAGAAAGAACAGTCTTGTGTTCTTACCAAACCTTTATAAATCCTTTAAATTTTGGACATCTTGACAAGACAACAACAGAAATAGAAACACATTTAAGGACAAAGATGTCCTCTCTATGACCAACCCTGCACACAGATAATCTGAATTAACATGCAGAATATTCTAGGGAAAATGTTTATGTTTTGTCCTACCAGTTATTGTGAATCAACCTTTCCTTAACCTCAAAACAAATTCCTTTGATGTTAAAAATAGGAATGAATTTGAAAAGCTGTATGGATAATTTCCTTTTAGACAATAACTTTTCAATTTGAGTAAACAAAGAGGGCCAAAGTCACAGTAGTGGACTTAACTACAACCTTTAGGCTGTTCCAGTCACGTCAAAATAGGTAAAAACTAAGATACATGAATTATTTTTAAAAGTTAAATATATCGTATCACAGTTGAAATAATGAAATCTACTATAAAATAAATTCCACTTCATGCAAGACATAAATGAGTTTAACACCCAGATACAGTGTGATGTTTTAATTTTCATGTTATTATTGTTTAACTTAATCTTTTATTTAAAAATAGTACTCTGATTTCCAACTCATGGTTAATGTTTCTTAGGAAATGGTTATAATACAAATGGCTTTTGTGTGCATAATATAACTTAAGACAGTAACAGTGACAGCTACAAAATCCTCTAAAAATGTTTTACTAATTACTTGGCTTATCACACACTCAAAAAATATTGTCTTCCTCAGCAGCAAAGAGAAACAAGAGACAAAGAAAGAATATTCCTATTTCTGACATTTTAAATAATTTTTCTAACTTTTCCATGGACTCCAAAATAAATTAGCACTGCATTGCTGTTACCAGGCTATGTAGCACAATGCATCTGCTTCCTAACTAATTAATACCAACTTTGTGGCTTCTTTACATATGAATTTATGACCTG